TTTGCCGACAACGTCTACTTGTCAACTTATTAATTCATCTAGTTCTTAACTTATTATAAATTCGTGTAAACAAGTGTTTGCCAACAACACCTAATAGCAAACTAATTATTAATAGTCACTGCCTAAAAATAAAAAAAAATAATTGTGTGGAGGGGCATTTGTTCCTTACAAGACATTCGTCATTTGGGTCGAGAGGCAATCCGTGTATATGTTCACAGTAAACCAGTGTCACTGAAATGGGTGACAGAAACACGGGAATAAATGAAATATATATATCAAACGGAACTGACTATATAGCATCATAGAAGACAATATTTAGCATACTGTGGTCAAATTTCATCAATGCTCTATTAGTTAACATAAACATACCATTGACATAAATAACATATACCAGACATATGTAATATTACAATTACCTGCTATTATAAAGTAAAATCCAGTAACAATTATGGCACACGTAGTAATAATTTTGGCGTAAGAAAAAAGGTTTATCAGTCTTGTACTCATCCGGACACTCATAATGTTTACGTACGTAATTAATACTGAAACGAAATTAATTTGAACCTGAATCATATCATATGACATCACATCCCCTAATTACAGCGGCTCAGTAAACTGCCACATAAGCTTTATTGTTATTTTGTTTCAAGAAAATGTTCAGAACCAAACTAATATACATTTTAAAAACCAACTGTCTGCCAGTATGTGGATATAAACATATTTTCTACACAAATATTTTTTGATGGTTGGTACTCACGCACGCATAATGTAGCAATGAGACGTTTGGTATTCCGCGTGTTGGTATCACATGCCAGTGATACTGGATGTACAACATACTCAGCAAATGTCAGTGCAATTATGGCTGCTACAGTAGGCTTGATGATAATTGCTGCAATCCACAAATAAACAAAACCAGGCAATGGGCCAAATATTTTGTATAAGTAGATGTATTCGCCGCCAAACTTTGTAATGGTAGTTCCCAATTCTGCCATACATAGAGCGCCCATCATTGAAAATATACCACAAACAACCCATATTACAAGCGCAACGCCAACTGAGCCAGAGTACATAAAGACACCCTTTGGTGAAATAAAAATTCCGGACCCAATGACTAAGCCGACCATCAGGAGTATACCATCACCTAGAGTCAACTGTTTCTTAATATGAAAGCCGTCTCCCTCACCAACAGGCTTTGGTGATCTCAAATCAGAATCCGTTTCTCTGAACTTCATTGTTGTATCTGTAATAAAACACTGCATGTTTCTTGAAATCCCATATTGATTGTTTTAGTTCTGTGTGTGAAGTGTGTACATTATCTAGCTCTGTGTTATATACCAGAGAAAATGTACGTTCACATTTTCAGGTAATATGTGTTTCCGTACTCTTTGTTCCTTTATATACCAAAAAGATATTATCTTATCTTATGATAATATCTATTTTCATTATATATCAGAAGAGATATGTATTACCGTTATATATTCGTAAATAGTGTCCACGTCTACTTCGACAGAAATAGCTATGGTAAATTTTGGCTTTGACATTTACGAATTAAAATTGGTGGTGGGCAAGGAAGTCATTAGATCTTGTGGCCGAACTTAGTAGGATTCTTTTCCAGATGTCAATATTATTGCTTTGGCTACATGACACAGGGGCACTCAATTTAATGGGACTAGTGGTGGCTGGTACGGTACGATACTTGCATGGGATAAGGGGAAAATATTCTCCTCCAAAGTTGCAGGCCTTTTCTGATACATTCAAGTATCAGAAGTAATGGAGATGATGTTAGTGCGAAATAGACGACCTTCTTAGGGTTTAAACAATGCTGCTTGTCAAAGGTATTATAATGTGCAATCATAACAAAGTACACTATGGTTGAGGTGCCGCTTGGCCGTGGATGCATGTGGCCAAGTGGCAAGCATGCCATTTTCTAGGCAGAAGAGGGTCATTAACCAGTCAGTGGTTCAGTCATTTGCCATCAGCTCTTGTGGTCTGTGTGAACTTGCCAATGATGCTGCATCTTATTTAGTAGACCTGATATGAGGTGGAGTCTCAAAGCCATCCATGGTCTATTAAATGCTTCCCAAACAAAACAGCAGTGATAGAGTGGCATATTATTTGAATCCCCACTATATCTATGCCACTATATGAACAGAATGTCGTTGATTATTACTCAGGTCATCAAACATCTCAAATGAATGAAGTATTCAAAATTAGATTCCGCATGTAACCATAGAAACAGGTGAGATCGCATTCATTCGTGTATGTTGGCACAGATAGCATCTTCTGTGTAGTATTCTGCATTTCACGGCCTACATTAGCCATGCTCTTTTGGGATGCAATCATAAAGTTTGCTTTCAGACATTTCTCGTCTGGAGTTATAAGGCCTACTCATTCCCCTCAAAAGGCAGCATGCTTCTCGTTTGGCATGCTCGTTGTGAACATTAATAAGTTATACTTGTCTGTGATCCTCTGTGTACTTGAGTTGTGAATTGCTTCCCCAGCAATATAGGATTGTAGTCCTTTTCAAAATCTTCTCAAGCATAGCTTCATCACCTACCATGGCATCCATTTCATGGACCTTCCTGTATTGCCAGCTATCTGTTTGGCATCTAGTGAGAATCTCAAAGTGTGCAACACCTCTCTGGTCAACAGACTGCTGAAATGCATTGTAGGATTTGGCCCATAAACCTGGGATGTTATGGGATAGTATGATCAATACTAGTTAGAACACCCAGCTTCATTGTTTTGGGGAATCTCACAAATCTCAGAATCGGGGGGAAAATAACACACTTTTACAGCTAAATTGTGCAACATTAAACCAATCGCTAACAACATTTTGGTGGATTCAACGCTTTTGTGTGGAAATACTTTGCATACGAACATGTAGTTACACGAAGAACTTTTCTGGGGTAGTTGAAACCAAATGTGCCATCTAACTGCAAAACCGTCGTTGATTGGCTTCTGAGTTGGATTACGATTTTGGTTTTAAAAAACTGGTAAAATATGCTAGGTTCTTCGTGTATTCCAGGGATTTGTCCACGGAAATTATGTCAGATTTATGTCAGTGGTTGGCTTAATATTATTACTCCAATGGACCGTTTGGTTGTGAACGTTGTTTCCTTCCTGGTTTATATGAATCTTAAAAACGTGTTTGTCAATTTGCTCTTTATTTAGTTTCATGGCGTATACAAAATGTTAATATTGCTAAATTAATCACAATTATTTTATTATCACTTGTACACCAGGTGACTACGCCCTCGATATTGTAATTGGGATGTTCTAATACCTAAATAATATTATGTTTGGTCTTATTGCTGGAGGATGTTCCGATATCTAAATATTATATTTGGTCTCATTGCTGAGGGATGTTCTGATACCTAAATAACATTATGTTTAGTCTTATTGCTAAGGGATATCCTGACATCTAAATAATATTGTGATTGGTCTTATTGCTGGGGATGTTACGATACCTAAATAATATTATATTTGGTCTTATTGCTGAGGGGTATTCTAATACCTAAATAATATGTTTGGTCTCATTGCTGATGGATGTTCTGATTCCTAAATAATATTATGTTTGGTCTCATTGCTGATGGATGTTCTGATACCTAAATAACATTATGTTTGATTTTATTGCTGAGGAATGTTATGATACGTAAATAATATTATGTTTTGTCTTATTGCTGGGGGATGTTCCGATACCTAAATATTATTATATTTGGTCTCATTGCTGAGGGATGTTCTGATACCTAAATAATATTATGGTTGGTCTCATTGCTGAGGGATGTTCTGATACCTAAATAATATTATGTTTGGTCTCATTGCTGAGGGGTGTTCTGATACCTAAATAATATTATGTTTGATCTCATTGCTGATGGATGTTCTGATTCCTAAATAATATTATGTTTGGTCCCATTGTTGAGGGATGTTCTGATACCTAAATAATATTATGTTTGGTCTTATTGCTAAGGAATGTTCTGATACCTAAATAATATTATGCTTGATCTTATTGCTGGGGAATGTTCTGATTCCTAAATAATATTATGGTTGGTCTCAATGCTGAGGGATGTTCTGATACCTAAATAATATTATGTTTAGTCTCATTGCTGAGGGGTGTTCTGATACCTAAATAATATTATGTTTGGTCTCATTGCTGATGGATGTTCTGATTCCTAAATAATATTATGTTTGGTCCCATTGTTGAGGGATGTTCTGATACCTAAATAATATTATGTTTGGTCTTATTGCTAAGAAATGTTCTGATACCTAAATAATATTATGCTTGGTCTTATTGCTGAGGGATGTACTGATACCTAAATAATATTATGTTTGGTCTTATTGCTGAGGGGTATTCTAATACCTAAATAATATTATGTTTGGTCTCATTGCTGATGGATGTTCTGATTCCTAAATAATATTATGTTTGGTCCCATTGCTGAGGGATGTTCTGATACCTAAATAATATTATGTTTGGTCTTATTGCTAAGAAATGTTCTGATACCTAAATAATATTATGCTTGGTCTTATTGCTGAGGGATGTACTGATACCTAAATAATATGATGTTTGGTCTCATTGCTGAGGGGTATTCTAATACCTAAATAATATTATGTTTGGTCTTATTGCTAAGAAATGTTCTGATACCTAAATAATATTATGCTTGGTCTTATTGCTGAGGGATGTACTGATACCTAAATAATATTATGTTTGGTCTCATTGCTGAGGGGTATTCTAATACCTAAATAATATTATGTTTGGTCTCATTGCTGATGGGTGTTCTGATTCCTAAATAATATTATGTTTGGTCTCATTGCTGAGGGGTATTCTAATACCTAAATAATATTATGTTTGGTATTATTGCTGAAGCATGTACTGATATCTAAATAATATTATGTTTGGTCTTATTGCTGAGGGTAGTACTGATACATAAATAATATTATGTTTGGTCTCATTGCTGAGGGGTATTCTAATACCTAAATAATATTATGTTTGGTATTATTGCTGAACATTCAACATTCATTTGTATTCCCTTGTTTTATATATCTACATTTATATTTTAAAGTTTTTAATTGTTTCGAAATATATATTCACGTGTTCCTTTGAAGGTTATATGTATTTGGTAATTTTCTGTTATTGAGAACTGATTGAAATTTGTTATGTTGATTTTTGTTGTTGACTTTATTGAATCGGTTTTCCCAGAGAGTTTTTCAATATCCTGTTGCCAGTTTGAATTACAATAGTGACAAACATTAAAATTGAACAGGTATTTTGAAATTCGCGATTTGATGGAAATATGTAGTTGGATTTAACATTTTAACAACTTACTCCTATTGCGAGCGTATACCTTTCTTAATTAGTAGGTTTGATACATCATATTTTCTATGACGTAAAATACAGTACAGCTACATTGACAGCTCCTGTCGAAGTTTATCCAGTACCCAGTGAATAGCGGAAAGGGAGGAAAGACGTGCCCGTCCATGTGGGTCCAAGGTGGTCGACAAAATGTCCCTGGCCCAGGCTCCTGGAGTCGGCAGGAGTGTCATGTACGTCGGGAGCTTGGCGTTCTAAGGTGTGGTGAATAGGTCTAACCTTGGACTGCCCCGCTGTCAAAACAGTCTGGAAGTTACCCATTGAGGTTATTCGCCACATCGCGTTCTGGAGACGGAGCTACCACGAGAGGGCATTCGCTTGACTGTTTCTTGCCCCTGGAAGGTGGAGTCGGCATGGGGATCTGCCCCCGCCCTCCTTGTAGCTATAGGAGACCACCACTGTGTTGTCCGTGCAAAGACTCTGTGGTCTCGAACTATGGGTAGAAAGTGAAGTAGTGCTAAGCGCAAATCTTTCAGCTCGAGCCAGTTGATATGGCAGTCCTGAATCTAATGCAGGGGCAATATTTTCCCTTTGGGCTTGTTCGTCCAATAGGTGTGCACCCCAACATGTTTTTGTAGCAACCAGCCATCTAGGTACACATTGATGTGTACCGATGTGATGTTTACCGGTGCAGCAGTAGCACCACCTGTTTTGGGGAGCACCCCATGTTCGACTACTTGGCCCAACTGGGCGAATGGAGGGAGTCGCTGACTCATTGGGTGTATCGGTATATGCGGGTAAGTATTGCTAAAATCTAGTAAGACTAACCAGTAGAAACAGAGCATGGAAATAATATGGTGCTCGGCGTTTCCAGGAAGCTCATACTGATTCAGTCTGCTTAAGTCCAGAATGGGGCACAGCCACCTGTAGTCTCAGTTGTAGCCTTTGAAATCATCAATACTTTCGAGTAGAAGCCCGGATTTAACGCCGGGTCCTCTATCCTGTGTATAGTGCCCTTTGTAAGCAAACTATCTACCTCTTGTAGGATTGTGGGGGTCTCCTGGCAGTGCCCTGAATGGGATCTCGTAACCGTGTATCGCCTCTTGCAGAGTCCAGGGATTGGTTACGCACTGCCTCTGAACCGGAATACATCGACACAATCAGTGTGACAGAGATGTGTGGGTTCGGTGGTTCCACATCAGTGTGATCTCCCCTCCGCTGAGGTGAGACCCCGAGAAGCCTGTAGAAGTCGATAGGTTCTGACTCTTCCTCCCGCCGAACATTTGCCCATCCCCCTTGTCGCAAGTGGAAGCATCTAACCTGCTTCTTCTGTGAGCTGGTTAGGCGACCCCCAAGGTAGAGGGGCACCACCTAGTCCCTTCTTCCTTGGGACGCTTGCCTCCTGGCTACTTCTGGCCAGTGGGTGCTGACTTTGGTCATTTCTTAGCTTGGGTCCTTACCGCTTGCCCTTGGCAGAAGCCAAACTGGCTCGTGGGTCTCACCTATACCAATTCGTTAGTGGGATCCTGAAACACCAAGACTGCTCCTTCCATCCTCAAAAAAAGAAAAGGGGGGTCCAGTCTGCATAACTGAGGCGATGGTGCGCCCAGTTAAAACAGCCAAAACCGCATTCCACTGTACAGAGGAAGCCCCTGCCACGAGAGTCAGATGAAACTGCAGGATATCCCGCTTAGCCGTGTGGTGTCCCACAAATTGCTGTGTCTGGTGGTCTAGGAGGCTGGTGCATTCAACCACTGAGACTTCAGTGTGCTGGCGGCACAAAACAATTCGTTCCAGTGGCTGGCCACAACTCGAAGGTTGAGGGTCGCCACCCTGCTCTCAGTGTGTGAATTTTTTTCAACTAACCGGTCGAAATATTTCATGAATGTGGCCACCCCCTTTGCCCGTCCCACCGAATCCCCCCCCCAAAAAAGAGGTACTGGGGTTGGGGGAGGAACCAAAGGATCCGATCGGGCACGAGATTTGATTCAAGACTCTGCTGGCTCCAGTCTCAAACAACGCTCGATCGGGTAGCGCTTGGTCCAGCGGGAAAGGTTGAATACAAGTGACCTACCCTAGGGACTTAGGTCTCTATCCTGGGGGGACCAAGGTCCACCCATCAACACTGTCTGTGCGTCCCCCCACGTCCAGCACTCGGTGAGATCGTAAGCAATACCGAATGCAGGACTCTGGATCCCGGAAGTGACAGTGCTACCAAGAGTGACTGTTTCAGGATTGAGGGTGGGAGTTGAACATCAGGTCACTGGGATCGATGTTCCTCCTCACCCCACGGCGAGGAACAGACTCCGAGGTTGCACATTTATATGATACTATTTTGACGGGCATATTGGATTTATGCAAATGGCATTGTTATTCAATCAAATGTTTCACAATCACATACATTCACGCACACCAAACTATATCGCAGCAACTTGAATATTTAAAAAGTGTCATCTAGAATTAAAGACATGTCCTAATAGTTATATTTTCCGTATTGTAAATATGAACCAAACGGCCATTTTGAATATATGCAAATTAAGTATATTTTGGAAGCCTAGATTTTCCTAGACTTTTAGTGTATCAATCTGGGCACCTCCCCGGAATGTATTGTGAAGAAATTATTTCTGTTTCAATTTTTGATAGGTCAAACCATAAATTGACTGTACTAATAACGAGGAGCAATCATTCACTTCACTAGTACTGTTTATTGAAAAGAATATTTACTAACAAAGGATATAATATTACAATAGTGTTTTAGCTTTAGCTTTGTTTTTATGGTAGAGATGCAGTTTACCTGATATGTATTTTAATTAGTTAATTAGGAAACCAAGATGACCTCCCCCTTCCACAAAACTATATATTATCGGAAAGCTCATTGCATGAATTTTAAAATTTTGTTAGTATTTTTTTTATGGATACTGTAGTAGATCAAAAGTGATTCAAAAAAATTAGCTTCTAGACCATGCTTTTGTTTCCTGTCAAAATTGGTTTATGGGTACATCTGTTTACTATGAAGAAAGTGTCGTTTTGAAAACTGTCTACCAGTTGTCAATTTTGCAGGGCAGCAGCTCAAATTTTACTACTTCAGGTTTATGCATAGATTAACACCCATGCTAGTTGTCTGTACGATTGTTGTAACACTGTTCAACCAAAAACAATGCCCCGACGGCGTTTTCAGTTCCAAATTTAAATGTATTATCGTTTTGTTAAAAGTTAAATATAGTGCATAATATGAAGATCCCGTCATTTCTTTGTTTCACCATGTTTCTTTCTGATTATTTATGTACAGCCTTGCTAAATATTGCTAAGCATTCAAAAGAGAGAATATTTGCATCTGGTATCTGCATTTTAAAATAGTTTTTGAGTACGTTCCACTATTCACAATATATTCTATAGCCAAGACTGTTGGATAATAAAAAGTAAAAAAAAAAAAATCACTCCCAAGTGCCCACGAACCTGCATCTCTACCTTAAATGATTGTTTTTAAAGAGTACCTATATGTGTGTTATGTGTTATAATTATGGTGATACTAATTCGTTTTTCTCGCAGCATTACTTTCCCTGGAGATTTTTCTGCAAGTACATTTATAGCAACATCTGCTTGGGTCGAATCAACTGTTAACAATATGGTACTTACCTTGCAAATTATGAACAGCTCGCCCATAAAACGGTATTGGTACCACGTATCTAAACAACACTGTTACCACAATAAAAGACTATGAGAAATGTGTGTTTGGTAAACTCACAACGAGGTCTTTCTGCAGTAGCTTTGCTCTGTTTCCATTGTTCGTATTGATTTAACATTTCGCTGGGTCGTGGTGACTTCGCTCTTGCTAGCCGGTCTCGCAAATGTTGAATCAAAGGAATGTCGACGTTACTAGTCGAATATTCAACAGTCTAAGCTAGTTAGTACAATATGTACTAGTTATTGATAGTCAACGCTCATCGTTTCGCGTCCCATTATTTTTAATGCCTATTTTTGTCTAGTTATATCCATATATTTATAGCCCTGTTATAGATTACATGGTATGATATAGGGAGATTTGAGGCATGTATGATGCGGTAGGGCCTTGTATACTCAAATAAAGCTACTGTCACTCAAGTAGAATGACTTATCGTGTATTTTAAGAGACAAACAGCACATTCAGCTCCGTTACACTATCATTTCACGAGTTGTATCTGGCAATAATTGTGAGCTTAGATTATTACATCTCGAGTTGAGGGCAAAACTGTGCACAGTAATAACCGCGTGGTTCACCGTTTCATGATTTGATCATGGGTGCAATTGTGAACGCATTATTAACACCCGTTTGGACACCCTTCCCATCCCTCAAAAAAGTTGGTGTCTGTTATTTGGTTATTTAGGTATTTAGGGTTCAAACAACTTGAATGAGTTCATACAAATGACGCCGAAAAAATGCTCGCGAAGTTCGCTGGTGAACCCGGGAGTCTCGCTACCCTCGAAATGCAACGGGGAGTGTGCTGAAAACGAGGACTTACGGATTGACCTGCGTGCATCCGTGCTTCCTTGCATGCTTGCATCCGGACCTGTATTTTAAACATGCCTGGATTAATTACATTCAAACTTCACACATAATATTTAAATAATAACACATGTTTGTGAGGGTAATATCACGATTTGTTACCTGCCCAAGTGATATGGTGATATTATAATATCATAATATTGATGATGCCAATCCAACGCCCGAACTTTAACCATCTTAACAATAAAATGAAATTACATTTAAATAGGGCTAGCAGAAACGCAGATTTTGTTCCTCCGCCTTATTAATAAGCTATATTTGTGTTGCGTTGCGTTGCGTTGCGTTGCGCTGCGTTGCGTTGCGTTGCTTTTATTTTGTTTCGTTTTGGTTTGGTTTGGAGAGGAAAGTATGTATTATTCCTAGAGTCCATGCTGGGTTAATGTGGTGGAGATAGTAAGTTCTGTGCAGAAACAAGAGCATGATAGATTAATAAGCTATCATCTAATTCTACAGTGCATAAATCATGTGTATTAAAGGTTTTGTTGAACTAGGTATTTAATAGACTGCTGCTTTCATACAGGTGGTCGATTTACATAGTAATGGCAACTACAGGTATTTTGGTTACAATACTTTTGCTATTGTTAATTTAAAAAGTAAATTTGTGCAAGAAATTTTAAAGACAATCGCAGTGGAGTTTTGGACGTTTGTTACATTGTTTTTTGTGTTTTTTTTAAATCGTCACTTGTATTTTATTTCATGGAGCGAGGGTGGTTTTACTAGCGTATTTGGTAACCACTGGAAAAAGAAGTGTGCACACTCAATTTGGTCAAAAATAATTTGCAATAAAAAAGAAGAAAATTGCAGGAATAATGCAGCTAGACTTTATTTTTTTGTATTAAAGAAACATATTTTAGTATAAGATAGTGAAATATTTGTCGTCCTCTCCATCTTACTCCAAATAACAAAGATCTTACCAGCGCTATCTGTCATAGTTTATTTGATGTTCATCTTATCTGTTTACAACTCTCGATTTTATGCAAGCAAATTATAATCACTGATTACGAACCGTGAATGACTAAAGTTATTGCCCCACGCGCCACGCAATAGCAGTAGAATCCAACCAAAACAAATGAGCATCCAATGTTTACATCCCACAATTCACTGCGTATGGTTCATGTAAAAATGGCGGACGACGGAAACAGAGCGACGTCGCCAAGACCATTATTTCCAATAGAGGGAATTAGTTTCACATCAAATGTAAGTTCTAGTATACGAAGTATATTTCCTTCTGTTGGTGCACCGAGTATTGATAAAGTTGAAAAAGCACAAACATCAAAACCAGGTATGTTTCATGAAATTGTGTTGGTACATCGTTGACATTTATTGTGAACGATTATTACAGTACGATTATTGAGGTCAATGTAAACCTTGACACCCCATGATGCACCGAGGCCCAAGGCTCGAGCATATGGCGTTAATGTCCGTGACACTGGTGCCCAGGATTGCCAAGTGGCTCGAGATAATTGATCAACGATCAACAATGATATCAGATTCATACATCAGGATAGGTCGACAGTGGTGATTCACACATGGTCGGGGGCAATCTGATTAAAATAAGATTCTAGTTTTGGCTTTTTTTGTATATTTATTTTATTTTGATCTAGTATTTATTTGTTAAAGTGTTGGTAATTGCGAAAGCCAACAAGGATCTGATCCGATGTCTATGTATTAAAGTAACATCCAATCACAGTCCCCCTTTTATACAGGCTGTCGGTTGCTTACTTTTCAGTGTAGCGATACTCTACGGGCAATCTTTCTGTACATTATATTTTGCCCACTTGGATAAACCATTAATAGAAAATTACTAGTATATTTTATTTACAAAAGAAATTTCACAGCATTTTACAATTTTTGTAATTACATTGAATAGTTTTTTTCACTTCCAACATATGTGTACACTTCCTGATACATCTTCAGCAGCCAAGGTTAATTGTTTATTCAGTCATCGTTTAAATTTTACTTCAAACACTGAGCATAATTATCTAGAATGGAAGCAAAAAAATAAGTAAATCATTATGATTAGAACACTGTAAACAGCTATAGTAAACAATGCAAACTGATTTTAAATTGTAAAACGGTCACTGGCCCATGGCATCGACACAGAATATTGGAGCAAAAATATATTTCCTGATCAATTGCGATGTGTTCCAAATAAAAAGTATTTTATTCCAGTTCAAATCAGCTCAATTACTTTAATAAAGAGTTATTGTATAATGTACAAAATGTTGATACATTTTGATGAATATTTACAGCTACGGCTTTAATACCGTAGATGATTTTGGCCCTATCATCAAAAAAACATCACCCGTCTCCAGGGCAAGCGACTGGAAAAAGATTCCCATGTTCGGTCGAACTTGTGGAAACAAAATCGTCACTCCCAGAATAACTACACAAAGTAATGATCTAAACTCGAACCATTCGAGCCACAATATAAATATAAAAATAAAAAATGACTTTCGTTGCATTTGACAATGATAAACTTACCGAAAAGCTGTGTTTTCCCGGTCGCTAACGTTAGTATAATCCGCCATTTTATTTGAGTGTGTTTGCCACTGACTGCCCAGTGAAGTCATCATGTGTGCTATCGAAGGAGGTCTGTGATTCGTTGACGAAAATCTATGATAGTGGGTTTCGTTACATAGGCAGAAAAAATCACAAAATCAAAGTTAAATAATAAAATAAAAAGGCATTAATAACAAAAGTAATAAAAAATTAAATTAAAATAAGTTTATAGCCAAAATAATTAAAGGCCAGACACTACATCAGATTTTAATCAGATTGGGTCGGGGATCAGCTGTGAATCATTGTCCCAGGTCGATCATATTTTTACTTAAACTTGTACCTTTTTAAAATTAATGGGTGATACAAACCTGAATGTACAAATACCAGTTTCTCAATTTATTAAAAATAACACGAACCTTGGACAGCCGACACCTTCTGGCAAATTAACATAAATATTTTTTTTCCTTCAATACTTTGTATTCCTGTTTTATTGATTTATAGCGCTTTTTTTATTATTATTGCCTGTTTTTTCAATAGTATTTTCTTTTTCTTTTTTTTAAATCATTATCATCCTTTGGAAAGTAAGTTTTGCAGAATTTGTATGTTTTAAATGTGTGTTCTAATAGTTAGTGTAACCATTTTAATTCCTTCTTAGGAATTTTAAACCGCAGCTCCGGGTGTATAAAAGGAAAGATGGCCGCCAGTTTTCAGTATGCAAATGACACTCAAACGTGAAACATCGTTTTGGGTGCTCCGTAAAATCACTCTTTTCAACAATCTTAATGCCTGTGGTACAAACATGAATATATCCACGATACAATTTCGATGTTAATTTACAGTGTCAGTGCGATTTCCGTATAAAAGCGACAGGAAAGCGAAAGACTGTCAGTCATGGGTTTATGCAAATGCAAAGTGTTAATCCAGAGTTGTTTGTTCAATCTCTAGGTATTTTTATGTAATTAAGGAGTTGATGCAAGTGATAAAATATCATGGAGCTAATAAGAAATGATATGATGTGAGTTGTTTGTCCAGCCACTTCAGGGGCATCGTCAACGCCCCTGATATTGTCCGTGTTCAAGACCTTTTTGTAACATATGTGTCACGCACATATTCATGTATATTAGATCTGGGAACTGGGTATGCTCGTGCCACAGAGCCGTTTTTTTGTTTTTGTTTTTAATTCGTTGGCACCTTTTTTCACTTTGTACTGTGCAATAACTACATTGAGTTAGTCATTCAAATAAAAAAAAACAATTATTTATGACGATGCACTGTTTCAGAACTAAATAAGGAGCTCCATGAAAAAAGATTTTGTGGGCTTCGTGAGCTATTCAATGGTTTCTTTGAAATCTGATAACGTAATGCATGATGTTAACTTACCAAATTAAAACCTTCGGTTGAAACAGCTGTGTACCAAGTGAACAACTGGGTGGACAATGCAAATTACATTTCCCATGATGCACTGATGCAATCCCTGGGATTTGGTAATTTTGGTCGCAATCTAGAGCTGCTGAACGGCAGCTATACACCTGTGGGATCAGATATGCAGTAGTAGATGAACATGTTGATAAGGCACTTTACTCTGCTGAAGCTAGTAGACACACAGTCAGCTGTGTACAAGTGGTAATAAAATAAATGCAAATAATTCACCAGTATTTACTATATGGAGGCAGCCATCTTGAATCTGGCACAAAACTAAATAAATTCAGATTGCCTTGTAAAAATATTGTTCGTTTTTGACAAATCATCAAATATGTGGGTCATACAATAATGTAAATTCACTACGTTCAATTACCTACCATAGACTCCGGTTAGTCAAAATGACTATTTTGAACTGTAGGCAATAATCAGTGATTCTGCCGGTGACGGAGAGATAGAATCCAGGTCAGGGGAAGCCCCATGACCCCAAGATTCTTTTTCCCTTACGTCACGAACCACACGACCGAGCCGATATGGCGACGCCATAGACGGCTGTACAATCACTGACTTTTCTCCGCATCCAATGGAGATCAAGTCTAGCGAGCTCTGCCTGGATCGCCTGCTTTTTTTCCTGTCCGGGTTTCTAGCTGGGGTTGTTGCCGCTGCCCGGCATCCGACATTGTAGCTGGTAGGATAAGTTTTCTTTGTCATTTTTACCCTCGTGTCGTTTTTCTCTTTGTTGTGTAATATTTTTTACAACAAAGAAATAAAACCCGGGCGACGGAGCTTAATCACTCGTTGGTTTCGTTACGTCTCCTTCCCTCATGCATATTGTCTTCATTGTATGCTTGATCTAGGTATTTAGAAACAAATAGTTGTAATGACAGCACCAGGGCTTGCTGCAGTTTTTTTTTTTTTTGGGAGTCGGAGAGAGCTGTCCACTGCAGCCCCTCGGTGGGCAAGCAGGAAGAAACACGAAAGCATGTTTGCATTCAAACACGTCTCTTCCGGGGAACCCCCGTTCCCAGCCGCGGCGCTCCCACTAATTTGGGTGAGGCCGAGGCTCAGGCTAATTGCACCGGGCCTCCTCTGGAGCCTCGGGCACTGAATGCCAACTGGGTGCTGGCAGCCAATACTCCGATCTCGGGGCAGGGCTTTCAGGGCAGGGCACACGGTGACCCCCCCTACTTTCAGCCAGCCAGGGTTTGTCGCGCGGTAATGGTAACGAATTTATCCTTGTGTCCGGTCTCCGCTGTGGGTTTTGGACTCCCTTCTTACAGACCCACGGGCGTCCCCAGAGGGAACCAACCCTGTCATGAGACGCACAGTCGAACATGCTCCCTCTCACATATTTAAAGTGAAAGGTGACGCAGTTCGCTCGCGTCGGATACAGCCGATACTCCGGGCGGTCCCTCAGAGTTTTCCATCTGTAATGACTCGGTGAGCCACGCTTTTGGGGTGATGCAGAGTATCATCGATCCTAGTGATACCATGTAAATACCCCCACCTTTGATCCTAAGGCGACCACCTAAGGTTGCTTCAACGCTTAGGGGATCACAGGCGTCGGGATCCAAAGCAACCCTGTCGGCACGTCTCTCCCTGTCCATTTGAGTGCAGAATGGGGCGCAGGACACGCAAACGGTGATGATGGGCGGACGTCGGTCAGCCAAGGAGGACGTAAAGCTTAAGGCCCCCGGGTGGGGAAAACCTTAGGCAACACTTCCCGCACATCTACGTGCGACATCACCTGGCTCACTTGGCCGGAGCCATTACTGTGCTACGAGGCCTTAGATGCACGTGTTTTCGCTGACAAGCTGAGTCAGGGGGTACATCTCCACCTCAGTGACGCAGACTGGACATCTTCCACCCTCTTTGATCAGGGAATGGTGGGTACAGTCTCGGAGCTTCGGAGTGCAATGAACCAGAGGGTTCAGATCAAATTCGCTAGCCAGTTGGCCCTGCCAAGGGCAAGCAGAGGGCACCCCAAGCACAGAAAACACAACGCCCTAGGGCGTCGTCCACTAGCCAGAGTCAGCCAGGAGGCAAGCGCTCATACCCTTTCATGGGAGGGAAGAGTAGTGGCGCGCCCCCAGGGAGGAAAGAGCCAGGTGGTGGCTCTTCACCCTCCCTGGGCGGACGTCTACCCCGGCAGTGGGGGAAGCGTGTTTGACGCTCACTTCTACAGCCGGGGGGACAGGCATGTGTTCAGCGAGTGGCCAGGTCACAACTTAGTGGCTACCTCAGGCCTTGGGGAACTCACCTCATGGGAGAAGAGAGCACCCCCCTCGCAACTGCCGAACCTATGGCCACATATCCCTGTTGTACACAGATTGCGCCGGTGTAGTCCAGTTTGAAGACAGC